AAGCCAGTTCCTCTTTTTTTTTCCCTGGGGGCAGGGGGGACAGAATGTACATTAAAAGCAATACTCCAGAGGGAGGAGTTGGGATAGCTCACAAAGAATGATTACAGATTTTAAAGAACAGTGTTCTTGTTGTGAACACTGTTCTTCTGAGCAAAGAACTGCTACAAGTAATGGGGCCTTTCTGTGCTGTGTTGGACCTTGTAAACTATTTTTTAGTAACCTTTTAGCTATTGTATATTGATCCTAGTAGGCATGTGCTTGGAATGGACTGCAATGGGCCCTCAGGGATCCTGCCTACACTATGTAAAAAAGGTCTCATTATATAGTGCTAACCTGAGTGTTTTACAGATTTAAAGAGGCATCTGAAAGACATGAAAGTACACCCCATAGGAGCAAGGATGGGAAATAACTGAGACAAGGTGCAGGGCTTGGATCTGCAATGATATTCATGGGTGTTTTATAGCTACACAAGGTGTAGGTGATATCTAATGAGTGACTAAGAAAATCCTACAACAGTCTGTGCCTATAAACATAAAACTACGGCTAATGAGTCTGAACAAAGGCATCTGGTATGAGTAGAAAAGGCACACCTGGAAGCCCTAAGGTCACTGAACAAAATCCCAGTACCAGGAATGGGATGTTTCCCTATGACTGTTGACCCTAAGATCCCCACACAACAGGCTTTCACCACTGATACTGATTGCATATGAGAACTGGACTGTAAGAGTCTAGTATAATGCCTAGTCGTAAGAGTATGTAATAATCTAGTAAGCTGAACACAGTAATCCATGATTCTATACCACTAAATATAAATGAGTAAATGAAAGGGAGACTCTTGTAGGATGCAAATCTACAAATGCATAAAAATGATGAACAGTTTATCATTTTCCACAACAGCGTTGCAGTGGGGTTTGTAAACAATGCAAAAAGTGAAGTAGTGGAGTTTGTGATACAATGCAAATAGCGTAGTAGTGGTGTTTGTATACAATGCAAACAGTGTTGCAGTGGAGTTTGTAAATAATGCAAACAGTGTTGCAGTGGAGTTTGTAAACTATGCAAACAGTGTTGCAGTGGGGTTTGTATACAATGCAAACAGTGTTGCAGTGGGGTTTGTAAACAATGCAGTGTTGCAGTGGGGTTTGTAAACAATGCAAACAGTGTTGCAGTGGGGTGCTGTGGGATGTTCTGTATGGCAAATGTGCTGCTGATTAGTCAATAAATAAAACACTGATTGGCCATTGGCTAGGCAGGAAGTGTAGGTGGGACAAGGAGGAGAATAAAGCTGGGAAGTGGAAGGCTGAGTCAGAGAGACACTGCCAGCCGCCATGATGACAAACAGCATGTGAAGATGCCGGTAAGCCACGAGCCATGTGGCAAGGTACAGATTAATGGAAATGGATTAATTTAAGCTGTAAGAACAGTTAGCAAGAAGCCTGCCACGGCCATACAGTTTGTAACCAATATAAGTCTCTGTGTTTACTTGGTTGGGTCTGAGCAGCTGTGGGACTGGCAGGTGAGAGAGATTTGTCCTGACTGTGGGCCAGGCAGGAAAACTCTACCTACAAATGGCGTCCAACGTGGTGGCAAGAGTTTCCACCTAAAAACTGAGCAAAGATTCTAAAATGGAGCTAAAAACAGTTCCTAATTGTCTCTCTCAAATGAGCGGCAGCTGCCGGTTTGAGCAACTGGTGGGTTCCTAGCCTGCGCACTCGACCTGCTGCGGTATGGCGGGAATGAGACCTCTGCAAGTGGTACATTAAGTTGCACGGTGGATTTAGCCTTTTCTAGTACAAAACAAAAAAAAGAGGTTTCTGGGCTACATGCTGCTTGGCTAAAAGCATAGACCCACGATAGCTCCCAGAGCTGGTGGTAAACCACCGCCATGTTGGGAAGCTGAGGTGGGCGGAGCCAGCAGCCACAGCTGCTACAGTTTAAAGCAATAGATTCACAATAAGACAGATTCAGATGTAATAGTTTACAATGTGTGTAAAATATACGTAGGCTTGGAAGAGAGAGAAAAAGGAATTATACAGTTATATAAAGAAATACATAGTTTTTTGTTTTTTGTTTTGGTTTTTCAAGACAGGGTTTCTCTGTGTAGCTTTGCGCCTTTCCTGGAACTCACTTGGTAGTCCAGGCTGGCCTCGAACTCACAGAGATCCGGCCTTTTGGCTAAGATCAAGTGTAGAAATACATAGTTTTTAAAAATAAAGTCTTTAAAGAGACAGTAAAATTAATAAAAAAAAAAGCCACGTAAAGATGAATATTACGCAGAGAATCTGGATTGTGTTGTCTTTGGGATTTTTTTTTTTTTGGGGGGGGGGGGGTTTGGTTTTTTCGAGACAGGGTTTCTCTGTGTAGCTTTGCACCTTTTCCTGGAACTCACTTGGTAGCCCAGGCTGGCCTCAAACTCACAGAGATCCGCCTGCCTCTGCCTCCCGAGTGCTGGGATTAAAGGCGTGCGTCACCACCGCCCGGCTGTCTTTGGGATTTTTAACTGCAGAAAAACATTTGATTGTAAAAGCTGTTGAGTTATGCCAAAATGTATATTTTAAAGGTACCTTGACTTCAAAATTTGGATATAAGGATATGTTGCTTTGGAAAGGAGACTCTGCTTTTGTTCCCACAGAAAGCCAAAGGCTATGGATTTGTTCCAGATTAAGATACATCAGGTTTGACCAGCCAAGACCCCCTGATAGGTCTCCGATGACAATATGGCCCAGATGATCCAACATCCAGAATGGTTTGAAGGCATCTGGCTCAGACAATACAGCCTCATGGACTATTCTATGATCCTAAAATTTTCTTTGTGTCCCCATAAGATACAGCGTCCCCCTCCAGCAGGAAGTAGTAAGAGAAGCTACGCCCAAATTCCCAAATTATATGTAATTTTATTTTGTTAAGGTTAAAACCTTCCTTTTTGAAAAAAAAAATGGGGGAAGTGCTGTGGGATGTTCTGTATGGCAAATGTGCTGCTGATTAGTCAATAAATAAAACACTGATTGGCCATTGGCTAGGCAGGAAGTGTAGGCGGGACAAGGAGGAGAATAAAGCTGGGAAGTGGAAGGCTGAGTCAGAGAGACACTGCCAGCCGCCATGATGACAAACAGCATGTGAAGATGCCGGTAAGCCACGAGCCATGTGGCAAGGTACAGATTAATGGAAATGGATTAATTTAAGCTGTAAGAACAGTTAGCAAGAAGCCTGCCATGGCCATACAGTTTGTAACCAATATAAGTCTCTGTGTTTACTTGGTTGGGTCTGAGCAGCTGTGGGACTGGCAGGTGAGAGAGATTTGTCCTGACTGTGGGCTAGGCAGGAAAACTCTACCTACAGTGGGGTTTGTATACAATGCAAACAGTGTTGCAGTGGGGTTTGTAAACAATGTAAACAGTGTTGTAGTGGGGTTTGTAAACAATGCAAACAGTGTTGCAGTGGGGTTTGTATACAATGCAAACAGTGTTGCAGTGGGGTTTGCAAACAATGCAAACAGTGTTGCAGTGGGGTTTGTAAACAATGCAAACAGTGTTGTAGTGGGGTTTGTAAACAATGCAAACAGTGCTGTAGTGGGGTTTGTAAACAATGCAAACAGTGCTGCAGTGAGGTTTGTAATACAATGCCACCTATGTGCAGTACTGGCTGAGACTTGAACCTGGGTATTCTGTAAGAATTTCTAGCCCTCTAAGAAAACATAAAGCCAGTGTTAAGGAATCTGGATACATGTACTTATCAGTTGATAAACAAATGCATAACTAAAGCTAGGCCAAAGTCACTTCAAATACAATGTTTATAAAATAAACAAAAAGCTACATATCTTCCAAATCCTGAGGCACCTAACCCACCATTGCTACCAGTGTCCTCAACAGCTTTTGAACAAGTATATATAGCAAAGACAAGTATTACAATATTTTTAAAAAGAGATTTCTACGGCAGATTAGAAATAACTAAGCCATAATCTTAATACTGTCTTTCAAACTTAAGATTCCATTCTTTTTAAAAAAAGTGTGTGTCAGAGGATAACTCATGGGAGTCAACTCTCTCCTTCTACCATGTAGGTCCCAATGACTGAACTCAAATCATCAGGCTTGACTTATCCACTGAAACTCTCTAGGCCCCTCTAATACCACATCTTATTCAAATACCTTGTCTTCTATCATTGATGTACACAGCTCTATTCAGCAGTTATACCAGTTACTGAGTAACACAGCCAATCATGTTCAACATAAAACAGAGCTTTAAATATATGCATATTTTTTACTTTGGTATTGGCTTGTAAAAAAGATTGATTGCATTTAAGGTGGCCATAACACATGACAGGCTTGTAAAAAGCCAGCATTGGAGTAGTACACATATGAGTTACTCATGTACAGTTTTGAAAATCACCTGTGTTTTCATACTAGGCAGCAGCTATTGAACATCTATGATATATCAGACACTGAGCTAAGAGGTCTGTAAGAGTTGGCAAACTTTTCAGACAAAGAGCCAGAATGCAGAGATTTTAGATTTTGTGGGTACATGTATTTCTTTCAACTTTTTTTTTTGAAACATTATATAGCCCAGACTAACCTCAAACTCAGAAGGTAGCCGAGTTTGACCTTGAATTCTGACCTCCTACCTACCTTCCAAGTTCTGAGATAACAAACATGCATTATCATGCCCAGATTTTCTGTTACATACATAGTCTTTTGTGAGTTTTCTAACCATTACTTTTAAAAATATAAAAGGTAGTTATGCTCAACCATCTTATAAAAACAGTATGCAAAGCATATCTGGCCCAAAGGCTGTCGTTTGCCAATCTTATTTTAAAAAGTCAAAAAAAAAAAAAAAACTAATCCAACTAATAAGGGGAAGGATATTATGTTTTACTAGTATATAAGTAAACCAAGGCTACTAATAAATAGTAAATATAGAATTATGAGCAAAGTTAGAGATGAGGAAACAAGAATGCTTAAAACGTACAAATACAGTAGAAAACAACATTAAAAATAAAGACTACATACTCTGGTGTATATACAGGTAGCCAATAGACTAGTCTTCCACCTAGTATGAGGGTCTCAGCTGCAAAGTTTAATAGGTCAAAAAACATGTCACTCAGGTGATAACTCAAGGAGACAGGAACGTGGCTTTCTGGACTAACAAAGAACAAACATTACAAAATCAGTAAAAAGTTTAAGATTGCTCACAGTAATTATAAAAAAAAAAATCAACAAGTTTTTCAAAGTAATAACTCGTTACATTTAAATTTCACTCACCATTTTTCTATTCCCTTTGGTATCTGCTTCTGTGAACCTGACCTTCTTGTAGATTCTCTGATGCCATATGGAGCTACGCAGGAATAAAAAGAGCAGGAGAGTCAAGTCAACCAGTTGCCAATGAGGGACAGACACACATCGTGTGCAAGCAAATGTGACATCCACAGAAGGAAAAAAACCTCACCCATGCATTATTCCACCCAAAAACATTTAACATAAAATGCTCAGGGAAGGGAAACTATGTCTTCAAAAACATCCACAGTATAAAGACCCAATAAGTAATGGAGGCCCCAAATTACTAACTGCAATGCCTGACTCTGAAGTGGATCCTGCATTCAAGGAAAACAACAGTTCATAAAATAAGTGGTCCAACTGACAAAACTAGTTAACAAACTGTAGATTTATATATATATATATATATATATGTATATAAATTTTTAAAATTGATTGCTACACTGCAGCTAAGTATCTTGACTCAGAAAATCCACACTAAAGTATAGAAGTAAAAATGCCATACTGGAAGAACAAACAGTAAATAATAAAAGGTCCAAATTGTCATAATGCATATTCACAATGACATCTTAGTGCCTAAGAACTTTCTTTTTAGATTTGAAATCCTCTAGTCAAAGAACAAAAAAATGAGTCTTAACAAAAGGTCTTAACTTTGCACTACTTACTAACTATTACCAAGATTTTTAATTACAAAAATTATTACAAAGATTATTAGCAACCCTATGGAAAAGGCACATCTGTTTTGATGCGTCACGTCAAATACTCAAGATTCAGGAGCACAGAACCTAAGTTTTCATGTAGTGTTCTGGAGCAAGTTGGGGCATAACCCAGCGGTTAACACAACCCCAAATCTTTCTACGTACAGAAAGAAGATGCCAGTGAAAACAGATGCTGCAGAGGCTCACCTGTGGAAGAAGGTGAGATTGCTGAACCCCCCGAGACTGACACAGTACCCATAAATAACACTACCTCTAGGTGCTATACTAATGACCAGTCCGTCAATATAAAAATACAGGCCTCAAAAGGTAAGCGGAAGAGAAAATAGATGGCAAATTATATACAGCTATAAATATAGACAGAAAATAAATATATTTACTAAAATGAAACCCTTAAGTACTTCAATTAACAAGCTGCTATCTAGTCATAATTTTTTGTATTGTTTTTGAAGAAGAGTGGGAAGAACCCTAGTACAAGTGGGCACTTCTTACATGTGTTGATATATTTTGTACTTAAAATATACCAGTTTCAGAAAACTAACCCCTTTCCTACTTTGTATAAAAATAAACTCACGATCTGTGATGATTGCATCAAAATACGTTCCCTTCCTCCAGGAAGGCTTAGAGGCATCTGAAACCAAGACATCAAGGTAAAACTTCTCTAAGCCATACTGACGAAGATTTGCCCTGATGTTTTCATCTGGTCCTCGCCATTTCTGGTTTTTTCTACTAGCTTTTCCTAAAGAGAAAGAAAATGAAGGTAGAAAATTATTCCATCAAACAGAGCATTACTCTTTTCTTTAGTTCAGCTGAAAATACTTTTATGCTCATGCTAACCCACATTCACCAACATAAAATGTATGTTCATTTGTAATCTTAACTGTATGCATACAATTACACAAATATTTCACCATATTATTTTGAACAGTAAAATGCACCTTATTAAAATGGCCAATACTTTCTAAGTATGAAGTATTCTTAAGTAAGATACATAACTGGAGCCGGGCGGTGGTGGCGCACGCCTTTAATCCCAGCACTCGGGAGGCAGAGGCAGGCGGATGTCTGTGAGTTCGAGGCCAGCCTGGTCTACAAAGCGAGTTCTAGGAAAGGCGCAAAGCTACACAAAGAAACCCTGTCTCGGGGGGGGGGGGGGGGGGGGGGGGGGGGGGGGGGGAGATACTGAGTAGAATATGGACCTTTCCCACATCAGTAAAGAGTTCCATGCTGAATGAATGTTTGATCAGATAAATGAAACAGAAATGAAGAACGCTAACTTGTAAAATACAGCAGCTTTTGACCATGAAGAACACAGACAAGTGGAAACACTGCTAATGAGAAGTCAGTGTACATAGAGAGAAAGTGAAGAAGCTCAAAAGCCTAGCATATGAGACCTAAGTGGATGATGATGATCATGTCAGTGGTAAGATCGAAGACACCTGAAGAAAAAAACAGCTTAATGGCAAATTTTGAGATATATAACTACCAGGGACACACACACACACACACACACACACACACACACACACACACACACTCACACTCCACATACACACAACCAGAAGATGGTACTAGCGGAAAGAGATAATCATCGGGCAGGTGAACTCTGGAACGCACACACTTGGAGCCATCGGCATTTAAACAAGTGGAGCTGGTGAGAAGGAATCTAACTCTAACCTAGGTGTGCAAGCTACCCAAGGGCTTGCTCTAGAATTATTCTTAAACTTGAGGCAGGGACTGGAACTCATAGCGACCCTCCTACCTCTGCCTCCTGAAGCCATGCAACGCCATGCCCAGCAATTATTGTTACATAATTATACACTTTTGTATTATGATCAATTTTATAGTAAAACAAAACTCAAAAAAAAAAAAAAATCAAAAGGATGGAAAAACTCCAAACAACATTCACTATGATGGAAACAGGGATTAAAAAATGGATGCTAGCCAGGCAGTAGTAGCACACACCTCTAATTCCAGCACTCAGGAGGCAGAGGCATATGGATCTCTGTGAGTTTGAGGCCAGCCTGGTCTACAGAGAGAGTTCCAGGACAGCCAAAGAAACCCTATCTCAAAAACCCCAAAATATAAATAAATAAACAAACAAACAAATAAATACATAAAATTTGGATGCTAGGAGATAAATAATTATGTAAACAAAAATGAAAGAAAACCCCAGGGTCTTAAAGAAACTGAAATAAAACTTCAAAAGAGTAAGAGCAGCACCCAGCGAGGACGTTATCCCGGAAAGAAGGAAGGCTTATGAAACTCAACACCGTGGAAGAGGGGGGCTCTGCGCCCTTAGTGGGTGTTTCGGGCTGAACAGTGGGTGCAGGCGCTACAGGATCACAGACAAGCAGGAAGTGAGAGTGAAAGCGGAGAGCAGGCTTTCAGGCAGCATTCGGGCAAAGGGTGAGGAAACGGAAATACAGCTAAAGAGACCCCATAGGACGGACAGAAAAGGCTCCTAACTTGCCAACTGGGAAAAACACGAGACTATTCTACGGTACAAACTAAGGGATCAGAAACGGGGAGCAGAGGGCAGCCCTAAACTGTCTGATCTAAGAAACTCTCCTCAATTAGAATCTACTTCCAGTAGACCGAAGGCTATGAAATAACTTTTCAAAACTTTAATAAATAGTTCAGGCCCTCTGGATAAGTAAGACAGTTGATCAGCTTGATCTGTTTGGGAGGCATCCAGGCAGTGGGACCGGGACCTGTCCTCAGTGCATGAGTTGGCTGTTTGGAGCCTGGGGCTTATACAGGGACACTTGGCTCAGCCTGGGAGGAGGGGACTGGACCTGCCTGGACTGAATCTACCAGGTTGAACTCAATCCCCAGGGGAGTCTTTGCCATGGAGGAGATGGGATTGGGGAAGGGGGGGCGGGAGGGGGGGGACGACAAGGGAATCCGTGGCTGATATGTAAAATTAAATTAAATTATAAAATAAAAAAAATAAAAATAAAAAACAAAACAAAAAAACTTTAATAAATAAAAATGTCTTAAAGGCTCTGTGGGACAATTTCCTTAAATCAAATATATTGCTTCTACTAGCAATAAACTAGAATAAGTCTCAAGACTTCACTTACTCTAACAAAATACAAACAACAAACTTCTAGCTAGCCCATTTATGAAAAACATTCAAAACTATAACTTTTCCCCCCCAGTAAGTATTACTAAGCTCCTTAAGAGTCAAGGTAATAGTGTGCCAGTTATTACTACGGCACACAGCAGCTTCAGCAACGTAAAGTATCATAAAACCTCACCTTTAAATTAACCTATACTGAGCTAAGTAAATTGTTTTAAGAACTCATTCAAGTTACAACAGAGTAGAAGACTAGCATAGAGGCAAACAATTTTGAATCATGAATGTAACTTGGTATTTTTAATACCATTCCATTATGAGAAATATACTTTTTCACTCTGATTTAATTCCATCCAATCATATACCAGGAGTGAAGCTTTGAAATTTTTAGATGTCTTCCATAACTGCCACAAAACCAAAGCGGATCATGTTTCAAGTTATCCTCATTTAAAGGCAGAATCTTTAAATTTGTAGACACCTCAAGTGTTTCAAGTATGTTCTGGTCACAAAAATTTAAATGTTTAAATGTTATTCAAAGACTAAATATAAATCCAACCTATACTCAAAGCATGACTGCTGAGTAAATCAATGTTGGTAATCTTAATCTAGAGAGACTATATGTGTTTTCTTTTTTTTTTTAATTTATTTTTATGTTCATTTTGCATGCATGAATGTCTATGTGAGGGTGTCAGAAGCCCTGGAACTGGAGTGACAGACAGGTGTGAGCTGCCATGTGCATGCTGGGAATTGAACCTGGGTCCTCTGGAAGCACAGGCAGTGCTCTCAACCGCTGAGCCGTTCTCTCTCCAGCCCCCGTACACACATTTCTTTAACATGGACTTGCTGACTACAAAATGGCCACTCCATCTCTTCCACCTTTTCCTTCCAACACTGAGGTTCACAACCTCAGTTTGCCTTTTTTTAAAAACTTCTCTTATTAGGATGACAAGTTCTTAGCTGGGGATGGCGAGATTTTTTTTTTTTAATTCATCTTAATATTCTTCTAGTTCACCTTGCATACCTTTAGTGATAATGTCATAAAATGTAGCTACTCAAAGAAGTTTTGTGGTAAAATTACACTAAAATGTTGTGCTTTAAACACTAAAATGTCACATAAAGCTCTCTATCAGTTTCAAGGCCCATCTGGCTGAAGAACAGAGACACTGAAGAACCTCGAAGTTCTACTCACCCAAGCCGTGAACCGTGTTGTAGTCTATGTCCGTCCCACACACATATGCACCGAAGTGAGCAGATGCTATCAGAAGGCCACCTGGAAAACCACACAACTGTGACTATTAACCAGAGAGTCCCAGACCAGGGCTCCTTTCCTGATTTAATTCGATCCAGAGTCTCATGAACTAGCTGCAGGCAGAGTACCCTGGAATGACACCAAGCTAGTTAAATTTAGCAAGGCTCAGAACTGAACAAATAAACCCGAAACTGAACTCACTAAATTGGCCACAAAGCAGGGATTTGAATCGATACATATCATGGCATTGTTATTTCACACTACCTAAGCAACACTACTTTTTTGTTCAAAATAATGCATATTTAGACATTTTCAGGTTATCTTAGATTATTAAAAAACATTTTGCTTCCCTTTTAAAAGTGAACATACAAGTCTGCAAACACAAAGATCTAGAATAAACTAATAACTGGGCTTGAGTTTCAAAGAACTAAAGTGAACATATTTCACATGTGTAATACTAGCTTTTACGAGCTAAAACATGGCCTGTCTTAAAATATTGTCATGTCATTATCTCTTGGTATAAACTATAAATATCAATTTCTGAGTAAATTATCTCGTTAATAATATCATTTTTCTATTAAACAGTGCTATGGCTAAAGGAAGAATAATATCCCAATATAAACTGACCAGACTAAGGAATATGACAGATATGATTGGTTCACAAATGAAGTAAAGTTCTAACAATTAAAAATAAAATACCTTAAAAGAAAAACAAGTATTTTTAAAATTTTACAAAAAATTCAGTTAAATAAAACATTAATAACTATTTTTCATTAAACTGCACATTTCTATGAATTCAAATTAAAAATGCTTATTGTGCTTGATCAATCTCCAATTACAATATAGAAAGATGACAGTCAAGATGAAATGCGAAATCCGTTCTTAGACTACAAAGTAAGCACAGCCTTGGACAAAGGGCAAACTCTAGGGATTTTCTGTTTCCACCCTTTTAAAATGTAACCTCTAAAATTAAGGTGTGCAATGTCTTCGCAGGGTCTGAATCTACAAATTCTAGATCTACAGCCGTTTAAAAAGGAGTCAGGGAAGAGTTCTTTGAAATGCACTAACGAGTGTCCTACTGTATCCCTTGAAGAAGAAGAAGGCTGGACCCAAAGCGGAGTGGAAACTAAAACCTACGTCTTCTCACGCTAACCCCTGAAGCTTTTGTGAGATGCAGTGTAAAAGAGACCTCATAATTCTTAAGTCTAGAAACAGGATAGTCTGGAGTTAGGAAAGGTATTGTATGTGATGACTCGTGAGCCTCACAAGGTCACTTCACCCAAATCACAAGGAATTACTACAATTCTGCCCATCAAGGCAGATACTCACCTAGAAGAACTAGTTGTCAAAGGGAACAGAAAAGCTTTCCTGTGCTTCCTTACCCAGAACCTTATCCATTGCTTAGAGGGACTTTTGAGAAGACTCAATTTACAGTACACTGCTGAAAGGAGATGAATAATCTGTTAGACTCACCTGCAACTTGTGTTTAACTTTTTAAAGAAAATCATAATAACTTGGTTTCTCTGAATTGATCACTGGGTAATCACTGTTAATCATCTATTGCTCTTTCAATACAGCAGTTTTTGCATTTTGTTATACCTAACATGGCATTTTCTTGAGGGGATAGGGCAATAAAAAACAGAGGGTGAGTGTTGAGAAGGTAGGAAAGAGACTCGCCCATTTCAGTTATCCAAAGTAAAATACTAATACCACATATGTGAGTTAGACTAACACCGTGTTTCAGTTTCTTGTTACCCAAAGAGTAACCATTTTAAGGTTAGTGTAGTATCTTACAGGCAAAAGAGTACAATGAGCGGAACTGACTCCACACTATAAAACTTAACTTACGATTCTCATCTCTGGAGAGCTAAGGAAAGCTTTGAATCTGTGAGGAAATGTGAGACTAGGCTTTGGTTTTCCTAAAGGGAAAAAAGGAAAAGAAGTTGGTAATCCTGTTGCCAATATTTTTCACTGTTTTATCCCTCAGAAAAGGACTCTAAATGAACTAGCAGCCTGCGCACAAGGATATTGGCCAAGGTGGTAACTCAACTAGACGAACTAAGGATGCAGGAAAGAAGCTACGAAGAACGAGGAAAACCGTAAAGCAGAACACACTGTAACGACCTACTGAGACCTACTTCCCAGCATCTTCTCCATCCTCCAGTTTCCTCACCTGGACCCTTGTCTATCACTCGGAAATGACAAATTCAGAAGGTGCTGTAGCATTTTTCTCACACCTCCGATGTCTCCTTGGTGGACTCTGACTGCTAGAGCTCCCTCACTTGAGAGACCAAGTCGACGCCACAGCTTCAGAGCTCTATGCTACATAAGACACTGAATGCATGCTCACCTCAATCAGTCTATCATAAACAAGATACTAGACACTTACAAACTTAAGCTGCAATTCCCTCACTGCTGCCATAGCAGCAGTTTATGAATATTTGGGAAATTAGCCCAAGAGGGGACTAGAAAGTGAGTTCATGGTCAAACTTTCCATCATTATTTAGTATTAGCTAGCAGGTTCACCAAAAAGTATCTAAGTCCATAAGAAAGTAACCATTAAACAATAATAGTAGCCTAATAGTCCACTGAATGTCTACCAGTTTTCAATAAGATTCTAACATATGTATACATTACCTCCCTTAATCTTCATAATGTATTACTATGACCAACTTACAAATGATTGGAACTGCCATCTAGACAAGAATTTTGTCCAAAGTCACCTTGTTGGGAAAGTAAACTCACACTACATACTCTTTCCTTTATACTATAGTACCTCCTCTGGGGTCAGCACCAATTGAAGTTAAAAAAATAAAAAAAAATTAGCTTATATCATACTAAATTACTGGTATAGTTTTAGATGTCCAATGCCCTTCATAGATGAATGTGTTAAAGTGTTGGTCCTCATCGTGGCTCTATTGGAAAGGGAGAGTTTGTCTAGAGTGTGAGGCTTAGAAGGGGGACCTCTGGCCAACAGGTTTATTCTAAAGAAGAGGACTGTAGAAGCCCAGACCTTCCTTCTTCTGCTTCTGCACTATGAGGTAAGCAGTTAATTCTACCCTGTGCCCCTTAACACTGTCTTCTGACATCAACAAGAGCCTACAAGCAATGGGTGTGCCCACCTAAAACTGTGAAGCAAAAAGGAAATATAAATTATATCACGATTACGTTAGAGTAACAGAAAGTTTATTAGCATATCCATTAGATAAAATAGAGGCAAATTCTGTTACTACGTAAATGAGGTAAAACTGTACATCCAGTTAATGACAGCGCACACCAGCACAGGTGCTGTATATTTTCATGCTAACTTTAATAGTGTATTTTCTTACCACCAAGAGCTGACCCAATAGGATGTTTCTTCTCTACTTGGAAAATGAAAGAAAAAATGTAGTGTTTTAAAAGTGACAGAAATGAGAATATATTTGCCAAAACAGAAAGGAAAGTGTGTTTCTGTAAGTCAGAGTATAACTCAGAGCAACAGCAAACTGTCTAAAAGAAAAAGGAAAGATATGTAGGCAAGAAAAGATCTCAACCTGTTTTGCAGCCTTGAGAAAAACCACAGCAGTGACTGGTTCAATGCTAATGCATTTGGGAAACTGTCCACATTTCAGTCTGGACCATTAAAAGAGACATACTTGAATTAAAAACAACAACAACATAAACCCTAATATATGGAAGCCAAAGGTAAAACCATCATCCAAGAGGATGGAAAACCCTATGGCCATGGAGAAGGCACAGTGCCGTTTCTCGAGTCCTTTCCAAGGTACAAGCTGTCTGTGAATCAGTAGTTCCGTGAGGAAACTAATGACCCTTAAGGACCTTCTGTACAAAATAAGGGGTTATAACCAGTTTCAAAGTAGAAGTGTCAAAAACTGACTTGTATGCTGAAGTCACACTTAAACCACAAACAAAGATGAGTATGTACTTTAGTGGCATATCTTGCAAAGGTTCTCCGATCGTCTGACCTTCCTCTTCTATGTGAACAGTGAGGTGATCAAAGCAAGCTGTCTACTGTATGTGGGAGCCACGCACAGCAAACACAGTCAGGCATCCTTACCCCTCACCACTCATAAGGTAGCCAGCCCCCTGTGCTGGGAAGATGGAATTTCACAATACTCCTAGGCTCCACTGCATCAAGAGAAGCATACTCCCTTCCCTCCCCTATTATGACAATGTCCTTTTTAAGCTCTAAGGTGTACCCTAAGTGTGCACACTAGTCATTCTGTACACGAATATTACATAATTCCAAAGAACTGTTTTTACTCCATAAAAAGGGCTGGTGTGTGTGTGTGTGTGTCTGTTTGTTTGTTTGTTTTAAAGTTTAAGAATGAACCAACCAGACGGCTTAGTGGGTAAAGTGCTGGTGGCATAAGCCTGATGACCTGATTCCCTAAAACCCACACAACAGTGGAAGGAGAACCAACAACCCCACAGAACTGTCCTCTGACTTACACACCTACAGTGGCATGCCTGTACCCAGACACATACATCACATGCACATGCATGCATGCTTATGCTTACACACACACACACACACACACACACACACACACACACACACACACACACTAAGAAATGTTTAAAGATAAAAGAAAAAAAGAGTTAAGAGTTAAGAGCTGAGCTTCTAGAGAAGGACAAACTATAACCATTCCTCACATCCAAAAGAATAAATTCCAAATGGATGAGAGTTCTAAAACAAAAATACACAACTTCAAAAGGCCTAGAAGAAATATAGCTGAATGAATCCTTTATAACTTGAATATATGGCAAGAAAGCAAATATTGTCAAAGTCAAATGATAACTGGCAATCTGGAAGAAAGTATTGTGATTTATTACAGAAATATTGGAAGAGGAAGTGCTAATATCTCTACGAAACATCTTTACAAGAGGTAGGAGGCAAAAGACATGAAAGTCTATTCAAAAGAAAGTCTATTTAAAAAAAGCCGAGACTTGACTTATAATCAGATATAAATTTACACTGTAATTCGATACCACTTTCACCCAACAAATCAGGAAATCTTCAAAGGCTTGACGATACATTCTTAGTAGTAAAACTGCAGAAGAACAAGAACTCTCTTATACGGCTACAGAAATGCACAGCTGAACAACAGAGGAGAATTTATTAGTAGCATCTAGCAAAGCTACATATTCCCTTTAACCTAGCAATCCTACTTCCAGAAATTTACAGCAGTGCTCTAGCCTCAAAATTACCAAGATATAGATAGATAGACAGACAGATAGATAGATAGATAGACAGATAGATAGATAGATAGATATACAGAGAGAGATATATATTCATACGCTTACTCACTGTAAGCATTATTTTCAAGTATAAAATATTGGGAACTACCTGTACCCAGGTATGTATAGGAGATTATTTGAACAAACTATAGCATACACTTATGGATTAAAACTATAGGAGAGAATGAAAACAGGCTGGAATGTGGCTCAGTGACAGAGTGCTGCATTATCTCCAGTAGCACAAACAACAACAAAAGAATGAGGACAATTTCTGAACAGGAAGAGCTTTCTAAGAAATACTGTTAAGTGGAAAACAATACCAAGAAAAAACAAGAAACAACATATGGAGTATCAAACATTTTATATAAAAGAGCATGACTAAGAAATTGTACCTATATAAGCCTATCACCAGGAAAAGGAAAGAGTAGAATCAACTAGGAAACAAGGTTGGTCACCAGTGGGAGGGACAAAAGGGAGAGCACCTGACTGTGCAGTTAACCTCTGCATGTGCAAACATCAACACAGTAAAAAGAAGTGAGGGCAGGAGCAGAGGAGAGATCTCACACCGCGAGCACGCTACAGTGAATGAAACCGGTGACCTTCAAAAGGAGAAGCAAGCAAGCACAGTCTTTGACGTCATTGCTCCTTAAGCTTGGACAGAATAGAAAACGCATCTTAAACTGCTCATGGCAGGCGTGGTAGCTTGAAGGAGAATATCCCCCACAAGCTCAGAAACTGGAATACTTGGTCGGCAGTTGGCGGTGCTGTTTGGGGATGTTTAGGAGGTGCAGTTTGCTTGAGGAAGTATGTCACTGGGCGCGGGCTTTGGGGTAAAAGATCTTCTCTACTTCCAGTTTGTTCCTTCTGCTTGGTGCTTATGGTAAAGATGTGAGCTCTCAGCATCCTTGTTCCTGTCACTCACTGCCATGCTTTCTTCCCATCACGATGGGCTCCTATCCCTCTGGAACCAGTGAGTCCAAACAAACCCTTCCACCATGACTTGCCGTGGGCATGGCGTTTCATCAGAGCAACGGAAAACAAACAGGACTCTTTTCCCCCGAGTGGCATGGGCAAAGCAGTCGACTACTTTAGAGAATTACAGAAATGAGCAGAAGAGCAAACTTGCTGAGCGTCACCACCAGGGCGCAGAGTGAAGACAAAGGTATGCATCAACAAAGACCAGAATAGGGAGGAAATAAACCTGTGATGATCAACAGAAATCCCTGCTACATGCATAACCCATGACTTCTAGTAAGTCTATGTGCAGGTTTATGTGTGTGTACACACAGGAGTATACGCATGCATATTTCCATTTGCACTCACACATACATTACATGAAAGCACACGTGTATTTCTTCGCTTAGCCTCTGAGAAATTTTAAAACCCAACCTTGGTTTCTGATACCAACTTGCCACTAAAAGAAGCAAGGGTTACTGGGAGAAATGACTGACACCAGGGCTTCGGCATGAAAAAGATAAGTCAGAAAATTTAAAAGTTCTCTAAGAAAAAAAAGAGTGACAGGTCACAAAGACAGACTCAACGTGAAAGGGCTAGGTAGAGCTGGGCTAATGTGAATATGGAAATAATGAAGGGATACAGAAGTCACCTGCAGCTAATAATAAATGAAACTGGCAACAGGAAGTGAAGAAAGGTTTCTTGCGTGCAAAATAACGAGTGCAGCTCCCTAACACAGAAGTGCTAGAGTGGAAAAATCATCAAAGGAAAGACTGGTTCAAACGAGAGTCTTATCACTGGATGCTAAATCTGATTTGTCAAGAGAAGGAAACATTTGGATAAGGAGCAGTATATTTACAAGGTCTTACTGTACCTCCCCACAAATGCTTTATATTAAGTGCAAGAATATAAAATAAAACAGTAACCATCACACATGGAAAATCAAATTCTATTAGTACCATGCTGGTAAAAATTAGTATTACCACCGAGGCAGAGAAGCAGAATATGTAAGACCTAACAAGGATACAACATCTTGAGTGGGAAGGTATAACTCATTCCAATGAGTGAGATTCAAGCAACTCAAATGAAAACTATTTTAACCTTAAGAGCGTTAGTAATGTTCTAAATCAAAATAACATTAACAGTAAAACACAACACCCAACTACAGAATATAAATAGATAAATGCAAATATATATGAAACTCTTATTCTTAAGAATGTATACTGATGTATTTGAGAGAGGAATGCAATAAATAAATAAAGTAACCTTCAGGGGTTAGAGAGATGGCTCAGTGGTTAAGAGCACTGGCTGCTCTTCCAGAGGACCCAGGTTCAGTTCTCAGCACCCATATGTTAGCTCACAACTGTCTGTAACTCCATTTCCAGGGGATCTAACACTGTCACACAGACATGCATGTAAGGCCAAACATAAATAAATAAATAAATTTTAAAAAGAAAAAATAAATGTTAAGCTTCAAATGATCCAGGAAAAAAATATAAATAAAATAAGGTAAAGGAAGCCAAATGTAAACAAAAGCTTAAGCTGGGGTTGGCTATGTGGATATTCTTTGTTCTTATAACTGGTAAATAAACTTGATATTAATTCCACTAACAAGCTCACACGAGAGAGAACGTGTTTAGGTAAATGAAGACAGAGAAGAACAAACTTGTATGCTGAGTGGGGTCCCCAGAGACACTGAGAGTACAGCAAAAGTGCACTGGTCAATTAGTTCAAAACAGATTACAAAACCTCCTTCCACCGACTAGGAACTCTAGACCAGAGACTGTTTCTTCCTCATCACATTTGCTCACACTCCTGAAGTGAATTCAGGTGCAAGTGGTGGCCAGCAAAGTTACACAGAGACAGCTCTGCAGAAGCAATGAATACATGAACTACTGGAGTCTGCATCTGCAAAAACAATACATCATGTAACCCTGACCAGTCACCGAACCTCTCCTTAACCGTCCTTTCCTCAGAAAGACGCTCAAAGTGTCTTCATGTGAGCTGTCATCAGAATTTGAGTGTACAACAGTACCCGACACATTTACTCAACAGGTACTAGCCTTGCACCCCATTGCTCCTGAGAAAGACATCTGCAGAGACCCTAACTAAACAAGAATAACAAATGAGTAGGACCAAAATAAAATAAAGAGTACTTCCTGCCTAAGGGCTAACATCTGCCTGCCTAAGGGCTACATCTGCCTGCCTAAGGGCTACATCAAGAAAGAAAGCAATCCGAGGCAAGGAAAACTTCAGAATCAGATGAAGCCAACTTGGAATTTCGGGCTTTCCACAGGCCTAATTAGGAGAGCATCCCAGGGAAGTAATAAAGAACGTGGGTTGTGGTGTCAGCAGGCAGACTCTAGACTATGGCTCCTTAGTCACCTTCAGTTTCACACTTATTTAAAAACTCCCACAAACAGAATCACAGATGTGTTTCCTCTACCCAAATACATGGCTATTTATTTAAAAGCATGAATATTTTCTCTTTTTTTTCATTCTTCCCATAAGAGTTTTCCTAATGAATAAAAATAGGGTTCTCTAACATTTCTACAATGTATGATATACTGCAAGACATCTGTGAAAAAATAAGCCTGATGCTCCCCCCAGTGGCTCCCTCGGAATAAAACCTCCAAGTGGCAAAGTGTTAAATATTAGCTATTATACAAGAAACGATTAGTTTGTCAATTCAATCCCTCACCCAAAACATACTATGACCTTCACTGCTATAAATAAGCAAAGTCTACGCATTAGTGTAACAAATCGTTTTATAATACCTGTTCCAACAAATGGGTCAAAGACGACATCGTTTTCTTTCACTTTTGCGTGGTTGGCCATGATGAATGATAAGCCAGCATCCATACTTGTATTTCCAATAAAATGTCTCTTTTTGACACTATATGACTCAATTAGCTCTCTCTGTCCATCTGCAATCTAGATCAGAGATAGTTTTCAAGTTAGCCTAGCTATACAGAACAGACTCAAGATAATTACTGACAATAAAAACTACAGCACCTTGCTAATGAGAACTTTTTCCACTTACTACTGTTCTAAACTTAATCCTTCAGAGATCACAGGACTGAGATGGTCAGAGTCAAATCTTTTTACTTCTCTAATGCCTGTGTAGCTGCTTTGTGCTTTCAAACCAAGTAGGACTCAGATTTCAATACAATGATTCTAAGGAGTGGTCTTGAGTTTTCTCCTCTCCCTTTTCTCTCTCTCTGAAATGACAAAAATCCATAACATGGCTCTCAGCTTCCACCTACCTAGTCCAGCCTCAAGGAAGTGAGCAGAACACTTCTAGAATTTCATGTCCCCTCAGAACGGAATCCTTAGCTTTGAGATTTTCACAAGAGATCGCTGAACTGGCACAGCACCCGGGCCTCTCTCTGCGTCACTCAAACGATAGTCCTGCCTTTCTGGGAACTCTTGTTTTCCTTTGTCAGGTATAACCCCCTTTTCCTAGGTCCTGTATCTAACAAACTCCTTATGTTTCACAGGAATCTCCGGAAAAATACAAATTATAATCCCATACTTTTCAGCAATTTTAATACATACAGCCGTTCTGACTCTTCACTTGCTTCCAAATTTTACATATAAAAAAAAATCAAACACAAAGGTGGGTGTGGCGTTCTGCTTCTTTTGCTTGAGGCCTCAGGAATGCTCGACCAGTGCTCTACCACTGACTACACCCCCACCCTGCATCTGGCTTTTAAAGAAAGGGGTAAGATAGGTAGAAAGAACTTGCTTACCCATCTACCAAAATAAATGTTGTGTGGTCTCTCAGGGATGTAGTTTGGGTCCAAACCATAGTCTTCCAAAACGGAGAATACATGCTGTGGTTTCTTTAAGTTCACTTTTCCTTCAAATGGCAGAAATTCAAGGGCCTTAAAAAAAAAAATAATTCTAATGTACTACAAAGACTGATAGAAAGAATCATAGAAAACAGCGCTTATCTACATACATACTGTGTGAGTCTGGTGTCAGAACTCTACAAGACAGACACAACACGGAAAGCGTCTAACAGATATTCTATATTCATATATACCAACAGTTAGTGTATTCAATCCACAGGCTTTGCTTCAGCTACTTTCACTTACATCTATTCGTTTGACTTTTTCTTCTTGAGTCAATGTTTTATTAAACGTGTGGATCTTTATTTTATATGTAGACTCTGAATGTAGAAATGGAACCTAAAATAGAAGCGGATAAGTTCTGTAAGCTTGTGAATTCTACAGAATATGCACACTGCCTATGTAAAATCACATTTCACTACGCACCATCTTCTCCACAGGGTAATTTTTAAGAGAAGTATACAGCTCCTCAGGAGATTTTCCATGACCCCATAGTTCAAATATAGACCTAGGAAATAAATGGTTGGTACTAACCTCAGTAAAGAACTTAGTTCACACAGCAATACATAATAGTTATTTTGCTAGTTCTTTATGCTTGCTACAATAAAACAATCATTGGTCATGCTTTCTAATCCATTTATGAGAAATATGTACACTGGAAACAAGTAGCAACATAACCCCAAACCATACAAAGAAGTTGAACCTCACATGAAAGAAGGGAAATTCAACATTAAATTAGAGTTTTTTCCAAGTTTTCAACAATTATACGCATACACAAATGCATAAATATATATGCATGTATTGGAGGGGGGCTAGAGACTGACCCAGGGTCTTATGCATGATAAGCACGCTGCCTATCACTGAGCTATACTCCATGCCCTTTTATTATATACTATACTGGATTAAACAATGCAATAAAATCACATGGTATTTTAAGAAAAGCTCCAGAAAATCAAATTTTTCTCATATCTTCCCCATTAAAAAAGGGGGAGAGCAATGAGATAAAAAAAAAAAACAACCTATCATTACTATTTAGCTATGATTTGTTCAAATTTACTAAGTTACTCAAAATTTTGAGTTCTAACAAAGTGAGTATCCAGAGTTTGCTATATGTCTCACTTTTTGTGGTATGTACAAAATATTCCATAGTAAAGGTGGAGAGACTGCTCAGTGATTAAGAGAGCTCGTTGTTCTTGCAGAGAATCCAATTTGGTTCCCAGCACCCACATCAGGAAGCTTACAACCACCAATAACTACAATTCCAGGGGATCCAACTCCGTCTTCTGGCCTCTGAGGCATCTGCACACATGTACATACACATATATTCAGGCACACAGATATGCATATGAAATAAAAATATAAAAATAAATCCTCTAAAAATCCATATTAAAACTAATTTTAAGCCTAATTCAACTGTAGAAAATTCTGAATGAGTTTAATATGTCCTTGTAAGTCTATTTTAATTATCTGTAGGTTGCAAATACAATCCCTAAAAGTCAATTCCTCTTCTATTGAATTTAGAGCAAGTAAGTAATGCTACTCTTACTTAGCAGTATCTTACGGCATATCTCAGCCATAGAAATGAAGAACAGCCAAAAGTAAAATGTTAATATTTTACAATATAATTATTCAATATTACAATAGTGTATAATTATTCACTTTACTATTCATCAAACATATGCAGCAGACCTATATGGACCAAGTACTCAAGTGGCTATTTTAAACCTAACATCTCTTGCTTCTGGAATGCAAATACCTCAAACAGGTACACATTTTAATATGAAAAGTAAAGTAGTAATTATACAAATAGTGGTTTTCGTTTTTTTGTTGTTTCTGTCTTCTAGTCATTTATATTTAATAACAAGATTGTTAACAAGCTGCAGTTTAAGGAATTAGATTTATAATTGAGCACACTTCCCAATAGGATAAAGTTACATAAATATGGAGGTGACAGTCAGACCATATTACAAGACACTGCTAATCATGGTATATATATATATTTTTTCTTATTTCCATTTCATTATTAAAAACAAAATCTAAGGAAAAAATATTTTCAATAATCTGCCATTATCGTCAGAGAAAAAAAACAACTAAGTGTCAATCAAAAAAAAATTTAAAGAAAAGGGAAATAAGGGATTCATGATAAAAATCTAGGAACAAGAATAAGCAATAAACAATTTAAAAATATGATTGTTAGAATTCATTTCTCAGCTGGACGGTGGTGGTGGCACACACCTTTAATTCCAGCACTTGGGAGGCAGAAGCAGGAGGATCTCTGTGAGTTCAAGGCCAGCTTGATCTACAAAGTGAGTTCTAGGACAGCAAGACTACACAGAGAAGCCCTGTCTTGAAAAACCAAGGAGAAAAAAAAAGAATTCATTTCTCTAACATATATATATATATATATTGCAGAAAAGCAGATTTAGATTTTGTAAAACTTCTTTACACTAAACGTGGCATTCATTCGATGTAAGAATATGTCATTTCACACTATCCCCCTGCTAAACCTAAGTGTCTGTCACCTCAGCTCCAGAAGGTAGGTCTCTCTGTTCCCTCATCACCATGCAATGGTAGATCTACATAACTTCAAGCTACAATTGTTTTAGCCTCTACCACCTTCTGTCGCAAGTCTTTCTCTGTACCTCCAGCTCCCAAATAATGACATGGAGTCTTATTAATTATGAAAGCTCAGCCTTAGCTTAGGCTTGTCCCATTAGCTCTTATAACTTAAATTAACCCATTTATTTTAATCTACTATACAAATATCCCACATTTCCCCCTTTTGTCTAAATAAAAAGTAAAGGTTTTAATAAGTAACTAGGAATTAAGTCTGTATACCTCAGATGTACTTAACAAATTGTGGCCCTTTAACCTCTCCAAATTCAGCTGCATATAACATTTAAAATGTCTAAGTTTTCTTCAGTGAACTATGACCATCCCTAACAGTGACCTTTGAAGTATCCAAAAAGATGATGGGGCCCAACAACAACAATTCACCTGGATTGTGGTAACTCCACTAAGCTGACAAACACCATCCAAGGATCAGCTTTTGACTACAAACTGCTCAGGACAATTTCAAGGCAGCTAGTTGAGAAGGTCCATCTTCATACACTAGTCAAGTCAGGAATTCAGATAAGCCCTGCACTTTCCCATTCCACAGAGACTGGACAACAAATGATAGAGCTAGCTCTCCTAGGACTTGATCATTATCTCAGTGTTCTCAGGGTTCCCTAAAGATGCTGTTGCCCTCAGACACTGTGTCTAGAAAACACAATGCCCATGTTCCAAAGAGGTAGGGTGGGTGATTTTTGGTTGTTTGGCGGATTACGAATGTTTATTATCATTTAGGGGGGTTGAATGCAAGTTATTATTGGTCATAGCCAGGGAAGAAACTAAGCAAAGGAGATCAGATTCAGGGATCTCATTCTGAAAAGAAAAAGGGGGAGATATAGGAATGATTGTATAAAAGGGTAAATTACTGAATCTACTTTTAAACTAAAAAAGTAACTACTAGTCTTAAATATTTTACACTGGTATGGATATTTGTATAATGATACAAAATTGAGGCTGTTTTTACTATACTATATATATATATATATATATATGTTTCCACACTTGTTTAAGGTACTTTTGTATATTGATACAAATTTAAGGTTGTTTTTGTTATACTGTATATATGTTTCTACTCTTGTTTAAGATATTTTTGTATATTGACACAAATTTAAGTTTTTTAATATACTGTATATATGTTTCTACTCTTGTTTAAGGTATTGAACCTATGCAGCTCATTTTAAAATGTAATTTAAAGGTCTAGTCCTTAAAGGCTATTATTACAAACTGTTTAAGATAATTAAGAAACACAGGTTAGTAGTTAGTCATCTATAACAAACTAGTGGCCATGTTAAGTATGTTTTCAAGGTCAAACAGATATATTTTAGATAAATGGTCTTCAAACACTTCAGAGATCTACAGAATATGGCATTTAACATGTTTTAATAACATAAAGCTTTCATGACAATGACAGACATCTCTTCCTAGCAGCACCAATCTACTTCAGGGAAGATGATAGGCATCAAAGAAACTCCATATGGAGTTTGCTTTCAATGTGGCAAAGCTACCATTTAGGCAAGAAACTGCCCTTGCTTCAACTGTTGACAGTATGTTGTCCAAACTGGATGAGCAGGACACAAAAGAAGGTGATTGCCAAACTTTGCCAAGACAAGGTAGGACAATCTTTCAAAATTCCTGCTTCACAGAAAAGTCTGTCAGATATTCTAGGCCTGTAGGCCAAAGATGAATGCCCCAATGTTACAGAGGAACCCTGGGTGACTGTCCAGGCAGCTAGATGTCTTTGTCATTTCTAGAGTTTTGGAAGCTGCTTGCTCTACACTTCCTGTTTACTCAGGTAATATTATATCCTTCTTATGTCTCTGTTGGGGATTGAAGACTAGGTAGCATACAATTTTCTTTATAACCAAATTAAAATGAAAAAAAAAAACGTATGTAAGAGATATAGAAACATAAAAGCTTAAGTTATTTATCTAAGAAAATGTTTTTAGGTCTAAAAAGATATTTTTAGGATGATGATACAAGTTATGATGGAAAATGGTTTACATATAAAACTTTAGGCTCACCAAGATGAGACAGATAATGGAGTATTTTCTTTGAATTTGCCAAATGCAAATGGACTGGACATTGTGAATCTAATTCTTACCTGATAATTGTTCTTATTGTATATAGTTTTACTGTATTAGAGTTAAAACCCTTCCCTTTTGATTTAGACAAAAAGCAGGAAATGTTGTGGGATATTCTGATCATATTCTGAGGCTCCTGAGACTGCCAATAAAGTTTGCTCTAAATCAGAGGGCAGAGCTAGCTACTAGCTGACCAAAATTAGCCATAGAGGTTTTGGAGGACAGAGGACAGACAGACACAGGAAATAGTAGGGCAGAGCTTAGAGAGAGTCTCGGCCTTTTTGGATAGAGGAACAAGAGGTCACTGGTTGCTTCTCTGCCGCTTCTCTGATCATTCAGGTTCTTACCCCGATATCTAACTCCTGAGGTTTTACTGATAGAGAATAATCAGATAAACACTTCAACCTTCACAATAAAAACCAGAATATAGTGATTGTGAGACCATATATATGCACGCTGCACAACGTGAGTTTCTCTTACTTGGCACACACTGTCCGTTTCATTAAGTTTCTTGCAATGTCTTCAGAGGGAATGCTAAGAATCCAAAAAGGAGACTGAAAGAAAAAAAGGCACGCAAATTACTACTAACAGGCTACAAGATCTAAATGCTTTGACTCAAGAAGCCAACAGGAGAAATTCTTATTAAATGTAAAAATGCTTGCTTTGACTAATCAAAATAAAAATTATTCTGGTAATAAAAAGGTAAATTATTTTAGTAGATAAGATAATATATTACAATGTAAGAACACTTTTATTTTTTCTTTTCTTTTTCTTTTAAGATTTTATTATTTATTTATGTATATGAGTGCTTTATCTGCACGCACAACTTTATACCAGAAGAGGGCATCAGATCCCACTAGAGATGGTTGTGAGCCACCATGTGGTTGCTGGGAGTTGAACTCAGGACCTCCTGAAGAGCAGACAGTGCTCTTAACCACTAAGCCATCTCTCCAGGCCAAGAACACTTTTATAAATGAGTCCAAAATATGAAATGAAAATATCAGTACACTTTAAAGTTACTTTAAAAAAAAAAAAATCGCTGCTATGTATTCCAGGCTGGCCTCATACTCAATGTGTCAAGATCTGCCTGCCTCCACCTCCCAAGTGCTGAAATTATAAGCCTCTGTGTGACATCTGGTTAAGATTACTTTTCATTTGCCTTTATGAAGTTTGACTAGAAAAGTAATGCATATATGACAGAATATATTCCTGGAATTTTTGTTATTACTAATCATTCCTTATAATATCATTATTGTAACTCCTAAGTAATACACCTTCATTTATTTCTTAATTACTAAATCTCTCCTTCCTTCACCCTCTTTCCTTGCTCTCTATATGGTTTGCTTTTTGCTACCTGACACACCGAGTTGCTTCCCCATCAGACTGGCAGAGGGCAAGTCTCCTGGGCATTTTCTTGATAAATGATTGATATGGAAGGGCCCACCCTACTGGGAGCTGTGCCATCCCTGGGCAAGTGGTCCTAGGGTGTATAAGAGAGCAAACTGAGCAAGTCAGGAAGCAGGGCTCCTCCGTGATCTCTGCTTCAGTTCCTGTCTCCAGGCTCCTGCCCTTACTTCCTTCCATGACAGACTAGGATCAGCTGGTGTAAGCCAAATAAATATTTTCCTCCAGAAGTAGTTTTTGGTCACACTATTTATCACCACAACAGAAATCAAACTATGGCAATCCCTCTCAAAGACAGTCTCACTAAGCTGCCCAGGCTAGGATCAAACTTGTCGCTTTCTTGTCTTAACTTCCCAAATGACAGAATTATAGGGGTATGCTACCATGCTCAGTCTGGTCACTCATTTTCTGAATAGCTGTGGCCAGAGGCATCCTGTGAATATTATTGTTATTAACTTCAATTATTTTATCATTTTATTTAAGGTATCAGCAAGGGTTTCTTAATCCTCTGTCCCAACACCCTCAAAAACAGGCTGGTAAGCTCCACCCTTACAACCCCTTGCCAAAACTGGGCCAAGCACAGCAGTGCTCTGACCTTAGTTCATCACTCTCACACATCATATACACAGTCTCCCCCCATCCTTCTTTTTGCAGTGAGGGAGTCACTCTGGAACAAAAGGCCACTAACAGAGGGCTTCAATTTAAGGCCTCTCGTCTTTTGCAAAAAAAAAGATGAGACTGTCATATTTAATCTCTCTTCTTCTGATATTGACACTACACTACAGAACTACTCAAAATAATTCAAACAAAATAAACATCTTAGCATTTTAAAATTACTATGTAGGGAGAGACAGCTCAGCCACCAAAGGTTGTGGACACATACTATATATGACTATTATAAATCCACCTTACCTGAACTTTCTTACATCATCTGAGAGCACATTCAAGTGGACTTCAAAAATGCTGGATGAAGCCAGGCGGTGGTGGCACACACCTTTAACCCCAGCACTCGGGAGGCAGAGGCAGGTGAATCTCTGTGAGTTTGAGGCCAGCCTGGTCTACAGAGTGAGATCCAGGACAGGCACCAAAAGTACACGAAGAAATCCTGTCTTGAAAAAAAATGGAGGGGAAAAAAAAATGGCCGGCGGTTGATGGTGCACACGTTTAATCCCAGCACTCGGGAGAGAGAGGCAGGCGGATCTCTGTGAGTTTGAGGCCAGCCTGGTCTACAGAGTGAGTTCCAGGACAGCCAGGACTGTTTCACAGAGAAACCTGGTCTTGAAAAACCACAAGAAAAAAAAGAAAGAAAAAAAAAAAATGCTGGATGATAGTCGTCTTCAATGCCACTAACCAATGGAGTATCCTAGTAACTAAAAATTTCTCACTTTCTGTTTCTTAAAAACTTTTGATTTTAAGGTAGTCAAACTTTTTTAATTGTTTATGATATTTAATATTCCACCTGGCTTACTTCTTTTTTGGAGGGAGAGGGGTGAGACAGGGTCTCTCTACATAGCTTTGGCTGTCCTGAAATTCACTATGTAGACAAGGCTGGCCTCGACAGAGATCCTCCAGCCTTTGCCTCCCAGCTGCTAAAGGCATGAGCCACCATGTCTGTCTCCTGGCAGATTTCTAAGTGATCAACTAATGCAAATCTTGATTTTTATTAAACTATAAATGAAGATACCATGTCCTTTCACTTGACCATGTCTTTCTGTTGTGACTGTTTGCTTACCCTAAACCCCTACCAGTGTTTAAAAGATTCAAGTATTTCCACTGTGAGTGAGTGTGTGTGTGTGTGTGTCCGTGTCTGTCTGTCTGTCTGTATCTGTGTGTGTATGTGTGTGTGTGTGCACACACGCGCGCATCTGTGTATATTTCCACAGTTCAGTATAATTTGGATAAAAAAAAACTTAGTCATTAAATTAAATTTTAACTCCATTTACTCTAGCTGGAGATACTCAAAATCTGGGTTAGCTCTTCTTATCCAAACTATACAAAAGATACCAATCTCTAATAACAACATGTACTGATGACGGTTCTTGATTTAGTTAGTATCTTCAATGTCCTATAGTACGAGTGGCAGGGATTAACATGTAATTAAATGATTATTTTTATTTTACTAATTTAAAGGGGGTATAAAATTACAGTGCCTCCTTCTATTTCTAACCCATTTCTAACTTTGAAATATATATAAGACAGTTCATAGAGCACAAATAACTGTAAATGCAGGGGAAATCATAGTCAATCTAGGTGAAAATGTGTACATTTTAGTTATTCTTAAATATATCTCCCTTCATCTCTCACCTCTGCTCCATTAGGCCAAACTGCTCTTAATTACTTAATTTTAGGTACAAGAACCCTACTATATGTCACATGAAAATGTCGTACCAGATCCAGAAAGAGTAAAAGGAAACACTTCAGATCCAGATCATGATGATTAATATTTTGAGACAATCCAGGAGTTTCTTCCTTAAAGGTCTTTACCAGCTTATTCCTCTCCCGTGAACTACTGTCCTGCCCACTCCTCAGCCCCATCTACAGCAGATACTAGGAATGAGCCTTCCAAGCTACAAAGGGACTTATAAATAATATACAGCCCCTGCACGAGCAAAAACGTGAAGCTTGGCCAACGGGGGCAACTGTGAAGAGCTCCTGGAAGACGCTGTGTCTGCAGAAACTGAGTACTAATGGAACTGCAGTACCTCATCTTGGGCTTAGCTTTAGCCTGGTCTACCTCTGTGTCAAAACTAACATCCTGTGGCCAACCGATAGAAACCCTTTGCAATCTATTAACTCAGCAGACTGCTAGCGTCCACCAATCCGAAACTAAGAACGGCACCAGACAGCACTCTAGGCCTCCAGCGAGTCTTCCCCCATCCTGAAGTAACCACCTCTCTGATGCAACGACCAACAGATTTTAACCTCACCTTGATTTATGACTTCCTTTGTTCTGTAAAACCATGAAGCTTCCACACTGGAACATGGAATTTGGGATAACCTAAATCTGGGTTCTCAGGCCATTGGTCATTCAAAATGGCTCCAAAATAAATTACCTATTCCCTTAAAAAAAAAAAAAAAAAAAAAAAAAAAAAAATCTTACCTTTCCATAAGTCTCCTGACTGTTAGTGAACTGGCCTCCAAACAGTGACAGTAAAGACTTTATTTCCTGCATTGAAAATAGAGAAAACATACACTGTTATTGTCTGATTAAGAAATGGCCCCAAGGGCTTGTGTTTTAACTCTCAGCCCTTAACTTGTGGAGCTGCTTTGAATGCTGACACATTTAGAGGGCAGGATGGCTAAGTCCTTCACTCAGAGGCAGGATTTGCGGATTATTCCCACATGATTCCAACCTGTTCCGGTTTCTTGGTGTGTGTCAAGTGAACAGGCGGCTTCCTCATAATCCCGCCACAGACTAAGGCACTCCACGATGCCTCCAACTAGACTCTCTCAAGTGATGAGTCAGAATAAAGCTCTGTGCCATTTTGTGACTTCTGTCAGCTATTTCGTACACCACAAAGAAGCGTGCCCGCATGCACGTTAAGCACTTCAAATTCAGGCTGCTACGAAAAACACCTCTAATAATAGAAATAAAAGAGTAGGCTGAGATCTACTTGAGAAATTTAGGTTTCAACGTCAGGCAATTAAATGTGGGGTTCTGAAGAGAGCTTTGCGATCCTAACCATAATTAAGCAATTTCTGAGAAATTTTATACATGAGCTGCAAAAGGATTTCATCAGAAACTGTCCTGTCCTGGTTTGGGAGGTAGAAAAAGTTTACAGATGCTACAGATCAGTAAATAAGACAATCAACTAATTAAAATAAAATCAATTGTTAAACATGATTTGAAGACGTTTGAAAAAAGAAATAATTAGCTAGGGAGCATAACTGTGAAGTCAGTATGTACAAGTTCATGGTTAACCTCCTTTCCCAACAGTAATAAAACTAGAAATGACTAATACAGTGAGTCTTTTATTTTTGTCTGTTTATGTTTTGAGACAGCGTCTCCTAGAGCCAAGGCTGCTCTGACCTCCTGATTCACCTGCCTCCAGTTCCTAAAGGTAGGGATCATAGGAGTGTGCTACCATACCTGTCCACAGTAGATATTTTAAATGTAACATGCATGCAAAGAGGAAATCTGATCAAACAGTACATACATCCTTCTAAGGAATCCCTCTGTACTGACAAACACAGGATGACTACGCAAATAGTTTGCCTTGCAACACTGACAATTTGTTTCCTTAAATAATATATAGCAAATGGATTCTACTCCTTTACAGTGGCCCTGGGGAGGAAGTAACTAAGAAGAACTAAGTGCTCCCGCTGCTGGTTGCAGACATTCTCCTTTCCTCCCTGCTGGAAGGTCTTAACAACTCTGCTCACAGCCATCAGGAGAGAAAGACTGCCACATCATCAAGTGTCCCATTCCAAACCAAAAAGAATGGGAGATTGGAGCAACAAACGCTACTTCTACTTTTCCTTTGCCTATGCATCAAATTGTTTCTTGTATTAGAAGGTTATGAGTTTTAGCAGGAATTGGAGGTGAACAAAATCAAAACAAATTGCATGAAAATTTCAAAGAATAAAAATATTCTTAAGAGGTGTGTGTGTGTGTGTGTGTGTGTGTGTGTGTGTGTGTGTGTATCACAAACTAACACAGACAATAAGTAAATCAGTGAAGACAGCCCAAAGGCTCCTTTACAACATGAATAACACAAATTTGAATAGGAGACATTATGAAACATGGGGAGTAAGACTACAATTTGATTTTCAGATCTTCTCAATACTACCATATCATTTGGCTCTCCATTTCTTCACATGCACATTATCACAGCTACCCAACGGGGTAGATGTCGTGTGCAGAGATCAGAAATATTATGGTAATCAAGATGGTGGTGACTGAAGTTCCGTTCTCTCCTTCAGTCTGTTCCCTAGGTCCCCTCAAACTGTAACTCATCTTGTACTCTCCCTTCTTATATTCTGATATATGAGACATCTACCTTCCCTTCCCTCGTTACCTTCACAGAGAATAACTTCCTTTTGAACCACAAAGCACATGCATTCAATGCTACTGGTCTCCGCTCTCTAAAGCTTTGCTCTCCTCATGTCTGAGGCCCTTATGTCTGTCACCCTGCAGTCTCCTCTTCCAGGTGTCCGCTAACGTCAGTGCTTCCAAGCATTTGTACTTGGCCAACCACTTTTTTTAAACCTGTGTGTACACTTACAAAAGTAAGGAAGGCCTAATGGCCTACGGAGTCTAGAAGTGTGGGGTCCCCCCCAGAGCTGGTATTACAGATGGTTGTAGGCCAGTTTCCTGATAGGGGTACTGGGAATCAAATTCAGGTCCTCCGGAAGCGCAATGAGTGCTCTAACCAGTGAGCATCTCTTCAGCTCCACTGGCTCACCACTTTTAGAGCTTACAGCTGAAGAAATCCCATCCTTTCCTAGTTTTCTTACGCAAAACAAACACAAATGTTTATCACAAGCCCAGATTTGTTCTCATCTCCTACACTACCATTCTATCCTATCTTCTTATTGCTCACACTAGATTAATTTCTTAATTATTTAACATTCCAACAGATTCTTAAACACTCTCAACTCCAGGCTTATTCCTCGCAAGTCCACCCTTCCGTTTTGCTTTCTATTAAAAACAATCTAATTCTGTCCCTTTACTTTCAAACACTTTAATCCCTCTTCCAAGTTACAGAGTTCTCAAGCCTGCTTTTTTCTGGTCCATCAACCTACTTCTCCTCTCTCCTCACCACTCTCTGCCACTTAACTGGTGACCAGGAATGGACAACAGCTGATACTATACTTCTACTGTGCTTAATTCCTTGGCCCAGCTAACTAATTCTGGAGTTCCAGAGTCATCCCCTCAACGAAACCACTGAAAGCCCCCGTCCCTCAGTGGATAAGACTCCCTCTTTAAAAGCTCCCATCCGTGCTGGTCACCCCATCCCTGCACTTCACAACGTTACAATCGTGCTTAGGTGTCTGCTGGCCCCCAGCCTAAATGAACAACAGTACGCTCTTTAAGGGCAGAGCTATCTATCAGTTAAACACATCCTCACCGCCCGGATCACGCGATTAAGGGCGCTCTGGGAAAAATGTGTCTTGAATCAATAAAAAGCTGGTTCCCAACTTGGCATCAAGGACCACCCTCAAGCCTTGCACCATGCCTCAACTTCGTACTCTGACACTTCTCACACGCCACCGAGCGCCCTCGGGGGATGTCTGCGTCCTCCGTTGGAAGAAGAGTCCTGGGGGGCCTGGTGAGGTTCTCCTGCTTCACGGCGGCGCCGGGCGCACGTGCAGGGGGCTGAATGACAAGGTCTGGTCCCCGCGGAAGGTTGCCCGAGATAGCTCAGTCCCACCAGCGGCCTCACCCCCCGCCCCAATCCAGGCGCACGCGGCTGCCCCCGGCCCCCGAAGCCGGCGTGCGAGCCTCCGCGTCAGGTACCCCAGGACGGCTCACCGGCAGGCGGAACTCCAGGTGCTCCTGTGCCATGAGCAGCAGATACCTATTCAAGGAGCCCGGCAGCGCCATTGCAGCGGCTGCCGTGCGCCTGCGCGGCTTCCGCGGGCCCGCCCTCTCCTCGTCCCAGGAGCCAAGTTTCCGCTGAAGCGGAGCCCAGGGCCGGAAGCGGAAGCTCGGCCTGGAGCGCACGGCCCGGGGCTGGGTTCGGGTTGAGTGGGAGTAGCGGGCAGACCTAGATCCTGCGGTTCCCAGAGGCCGCGCCTCCTTGAGATGCTTCCTTTGGGAGAGGTGCCTTGTTTTAGGGGCCGGCCGCCGTCATCCCGCGCGGTTCCCAGTGATGCTCCACTTGGAGTACTTCAGACTCCCTGCTCAACCCAACTCAAAACTGGACCGAAAGTTCACTGTTCTGTGTAGACTCCTCTAACTATCCAAAGTGCTAGGCCTCGCCTGCACCAGGCTTTAACATTGAGTGTGCTTTTTGTGATTTTTGCAAAAACTTTTCAAGAGCACCATGTGTCAGAAACAGTCAATGCTTAGCGGTAGTGCTCAAAACAGTCCACAAAGTGTGGTAACCCTCATAACTCAAACCTCAGTTCCACCATTTATCATCCCTGTGCTCTTGGCAAATTTTGTAACATCCCTGAGCCTCTGTTTTCTTATAAAACCTGGAATATTGCCGCCTACAAGTGACTATTACAAGGATTAGGTGTAATAATATTCACACTTCAAAATATAGCCTATTGCATGGGGTCAATAAATAGCATTGAGAAAGTTTTTGGTTGTTTTGTTTAAATGAGAATTCCTGCTTTAGAGAGAGAGAGAGAGAGAGAGAGAGAGAGAGAGAGAGAGAGAGAGAGAGAGCGAGAGAGAGAGAGAGAGAGATTTGTGTTTGTTAGTGTTGCTAAAATTCCTTCACACGGTGCATGTAAGCAACATCTACCCTGTCTCCCAAAATACCAAGAAACAATCAAGGCACAGTATCACCAAAATTCACTCTAGGAAACCAATGAGTTTACTGAGTTTCCTTCCAGAGCATCAGTGACGATTTACTTACATGACTGTGGGTGCTTCTACCCCAACAGGCTACACCTGAAAATCCTTTACGGAGCAAGGATGAGGGCTTACCTGCAGTCAAGGAGGTGTATGTACTTTGCCTTCGCAAAATTCCCTTTTTTTCTTTCTTTTTTCTTTCTTTCTTTTTCTTTTAGGTGGTGGCCAGAGCTTAAGTATGCTTTTAAACTCTCTTAACAAATGCTTTGAGCTACTTTGCTCTTTTCCTAAAGCTCCTCTCCCAACCACGTGGTTGCCTACCTCCATGTGGCAGACCTCCTTTCTCCTCTGTGTGGCTTCAAGACTTACAACTTGCCTGTAAGTTTTCTTTTGAAGTGTCAATAGTCAAGGTTCTGTTTGAGCTCCTTTTTTGTGCTCAAGCTTGTGGGTTTTGCCTGCCCTTCAATTCTTTTATTAATGAGACCAAGAACCTTAACAGGTAATCTGGGTTTCCCCAATATCATACGACATCTTCCAGGTCTTGCCATGATTTTCAGTATGGGAAGCAGACTATTCTGGCCCACTATCACTATTAGATGCTTGGAGTTCATTAGTCACAGATGAGCAGGAGGCACCAGGTTCCTCTCCCTGGGGTGGTGGCTGGCGACTGCTTCTCTCAGAACTTTGAGAGTTGTACCAATATAGGTAATCAGCAATGTGATTGTGGTAGTTTGAATGTAACTGTCTCCATAAGCTCATAGAGAGTGGCACTATTAGGTATGGCTTTGTCGGAGTAGGTATGGCCTTGTTGGAGGAAGTGTGTCACTGGGTGGGGGGCTGGGCTTTGAGGTTTCAAAAGCTCAAGGCAGGCCTAGTGGCTCACTGTCTCTTCCTGCTGCCTGCCAGTCCAGATGTAGAACTCTCAGCTCCCTCTCCTGTGCCATGTCTGCATGCACACTGCCATACGTCTCACCAGAATAATAATGGCTCCCTGAATTGTAAGCCCCCCCACATACACAATGAAATGTTTTCCTTGATAATAGTTGCTGTGATCATGGTGTCTCTTGACAGCGATGGAAACCCTAAGACAGAGACTGAGTCCAGAATTAGAAAAAGATGGCAGTCTTGAGCCCCAAAGTATTTATTACATAAGGGCTTTGTGTCCTAAACTGCTAAGATGGGGAATTTGGGAAGGAGACACAGCAGTCCTCTTAGAAACTTGACTACTTCTTCAAGATTGATATTCTATAATCAGTGAAGACCCTGGCACAGCTGCCTATTAGAACTCAGGAACTGGAGAGGAGTCTGTGTTGTAATTATAACATGCCACTTCAGCTATGAGACTAATAGGACACAAAATCAAAGAACTAAAAAGTTAACAAGTGCTCAAAAAAGAAGTCATAAAGTAATGCCAAACCATGCGTGCATGTGTCTCAGGTTGAGCACCCAACACCTGAAAAGGGATTGGGCATCACAGAGAACCAATGAGAAGAAAAGTTCTCTTCATATGCCCTAGGGCCAAAATTTTACACAGGCATGAAGGCACATGCCAATAAATCCCATCCCTTGGTCTCAAGACTCCCCAGAACAAATCTGAGGCCCTCACTGCAAACCCTGATAATTCCCTACTGGTAAAGAAAGTTCTGTGTGTTAAAAAGAAGAAGAGGAGGAGGAGGAGGAGGAGGAGGAGGAGGAGGAGGAGGAGGAGTTGAAGAGTCAGCTTTCTCTCAATCAATTCTGCCATGATTCAAATATAATAATAAATTGAAGACTACAAATTTACAAATATGTCTGTCTGGTTGAGCTAAGCTGGAAGAACCTTCTCCAAAATCATGACTTCATGTGGGCCAGGAACGTTGGCTACAATTAAAGCTTCCAAGAATATTAAAAACAAGTCTAATGAAAAGAGGAACTTATTCTAAAGGAATGTTGAGAAGAAAAGTCAGCAAGGTGAAGGAGCTATATGACACTTGCCCATGGCCTTGTCAATTTGGTTATTAAATTCTTTAAATATCTAGTGTGGCTAGATTTAGAAACTCTACAGTTTCACACAATGTATAATAGATATGGATACCACCAAGTAAACAAGACTAGGAAGATCAGCCTACATGCAGGCTATCACACTGATTTTTTGGTTGAAAGTTACCTGATTGTGATGGCTTCACTGGAGCATCTGAATGCTTGGTTCTCAGGGGGTGGCACTGTTTGAGGAAGGCTTAAGAGGTGTGGCCTTGCTCACTGGGGACCAATTTTAAGAACTTAAAAATGTACCCCATTTCAAGTTCTCTACTTTCTGCTTGAAGTTTAAAACGTGAGCTCTCAGCTTGCTCCAGCCGCCATGCCTCTCTGCTGCCGTGCTTCTTCACTGTGATGGTGATGGGACCCTTAACCCTCTGGAACCATAAGCCCCAAATAAACACCTCCTTCTGTAAGTTGTTTTGTCCATGGTGTTTTATCACAGCAATAGAAAAGTAACTAATACACTGATAGTAGGCTCCTCAGTAAAACTTGAGTGTGTTACGGTAACTTTATCTGCATCATAAGGTACTCAAAGGGATACATACATGAAATACTAAAGTAATAGATATAGAAAGATAAAGTAAAAAGGTAACTCCCTCAACTGCAAAAAGACGTCAAAATCCAATGACAAGAAGGACCCCCATCATATCTTGGCTATACTATATAGAAAGCCTATGCTAGGAAAATAAAATACTGTGTATGGGAGCTGCAAAAGTGTATGGTTGCATCTTGGAATGAAAGGTACCAGAGAAGACCTCTCAAAGTCAGGTGTGAACTTGGCATTCAAGGGGTAAATGATTTTCAAAGAAGTGGTTTTGTTGTAACAGTAAAAATGACTGGTACGTGGCATGTAAGTTCAGAAAATAAAGCTAAAAAGCCTAACGAATAGTCTTGAGGATAAAAAGTAAAGTCTTGAAGAGCAAGAAAAGTACATGATCAATTTGGTGAGTGTGTGTATATTGAACAGAAGACCTCATGTAACACTAAACTAGCATTCTACCACTGAACTACACCCCTAAATCCAACTTAGTAATTTAGTCACTTGATTTAGTAAAAATTCTGATGAAAACTCTCAAAGAGAGACAGTGGAGGCATAGAGGCCAGTGATGAGTCTAGGAATATTCAAAAAGAGAAAGGATGAGTGTCTGCAAACACAGACACTGGAACTGAGAGCAATGAGCCAACTTTTAGTCCAGGTCCCATCATGACAATACACGGAACCCAAACCTACACAAATCTGAGGGCAAAGACTCTGGGAGCTAGGAGACATAAGAGAACATTCAAGCAAACAATTATGTTTGTTGGTGTGATATGCTGTGGATAGACTGTAGAGTGAACAAGAAAAAAGGCTGGAAGACCAGAAGGAAGCTTCTATCATAGTCTAGGTAAGAAATGATAACCTGGCCATGATCACAGCACTGGTAAGAAGTGGCCAAATTATGAATATATTGCCAACAGATCTGGTACTAGGTTAGATATAGGTGTAAAAGAGTCTACAATGAGTCCAACACTTCTGATTTGAGCACTGAAAGACTGCAGTTGTCAACGGCAAAGACAGGGAAAACAAAAGAATGGATTGAGGATAGGAAACATCCAAGTACAATACTACTTGAATGGTATCTAGCTTATGCAGTGGTTTAATTAATACATGATTAATGAACAAAGCTTCATTTTTATTTGTGAAGTTTTAACTAGCTAATCAAACAGTGAGGAGTTGATTCGTAATCAGAGATGAACTCAGCCATTTTCATTAGGTTAATTTAAGTTGAAATAAGGATCTTTTTTTGTATTTATATTTAGTATAAACAGATGAAAAAGCAAGTATCAGCTTCATTTCACTGCTTTGGCATACTTGTATCTAGTACATACTGAAATTTTAAAACCCAAAGTATCTGACTGCAAAATAAAGTAATAAAATACTGTTATTGTGGTGGTTTGAATGAGAATAGACCCCACAGGCTTATGTTTGAATGCTTGGTCTCTAGTTAGTACTGTTTAGGAAAAATTAGGAGGTGTGGCCTTGTTGGAGGAGGTGTGGCCTTTTTGGAGGTATGTCACTGGAATAGCCCAGACTAGCCTCAGGGTATCCCCCTCTCTGCCTGCTACCTGAAGATCAGG